ATGGGATGGATTGGGATGATGGGATGGGAGCACATTCTCACTCTTAGCATCTCTTTCCTCCCCAAGCTTCACTCCATGGAATCTGAGCACCCCATGGTCTTTTTAAAGATCCCACAGCCAAGCTCAGAGCTGCTGTCCTTCCTCAGAACCACAGCTCTGCCTTTGCAAGGCTTGGATTGCTGAAGGCAAAATCTGCCCCTTCTGTGCCCTCGGTGCTGCCCATGGGGGTGTGTGGGGTGACTGAGCCCTTCCCTGCCAGCCCTGGCTGTGGTCAGCAGAATTTTGGGCAAACTCCATGGGCACACGAGCTCAGGCCTGGCTGGACACTCCCCTGGGCTCCTAAACACAGATCCTTGCAGAGGAGATAAATGAGCTGCTCCTAATTGAATTTGTATTTGCTGCCTCATCCTTACTCCCTCCCTGCCTCCCTCCAGAAATGAAACGTGTCCAGACCATCTGAAAAACGGGGTGTAAGAAACCCTCTTTGGTTAAAAGAGTATTAAAAAATAGCTTTGATATATATTAATTACAATTTCATTTAATAGCTTATTGAACGTTATAGCATTTATAAATAAAAGACAATCATAAAGCATTATTCTGACTGTTAATTAGCTCTATTTATTCTCCAGATTAGTTTTTAAATATGCCCTCTAGATGCCACTTGATACTAATTAACAGAGTTACATTATTATCTCTATAGAAAGGCATTTTTAATTAAATCTAAAGCAATTTAAATTAGCATGAGTTTTTACAGAAATTAAACTCTGGTCAGATGCTTAATTTCGCCTTCTAAGACAACATCTGATGACATGCCACTGTCAGTTCTCCCAAGGGCCGTGACATCTTTTTTTTTTGAGATTAATTTTTGAGGTTTGTTTTCAGGGAAACTTGCCAGTATACTCTGGTGTTTAATATTTATGATGGATTTAACCAATTTTTTTTGAAGACTAAATGTTGATGGGAATCCACATGCATTGCAGTGAGCTGAGATAATACCACAAAAGCCACATTTCTGCAGCTTACAGGAGTCTGGCAGTCCCTGGGTTTTTGAGTGTGGAGGGAGGTTTGCATGGCAGGTGGGATTGCATGGGCTGGATGTTGTCCCCTTACAAATCCACCAAGCCTTTTAACCACTGTTAAAATTACTATTTTGCTTTCCAACAAGGATAGGATTAATCACAACCCCACAGGGTCCCTTCTCTACAGCAGAACAATGCAGGGATTGCTCCCACTCCCCAGAAAATGTGTCTCTCAGACATTTGGATTAGCATGGCAGAAGCTTTTCTTCTTCTGTAGCAAACTCTAACTAAAATAGCTGTATTTAGAGTGGGGTAGGATGCCTTTCATCTCCCAGAATAAAGACTGCAGGAGCAGAGTGAGCCAGCCCAGCACCATGGCTGATTTAAAAGTACCTTTGATCTCACCAACTTTTCCCTGCCCTCCTGTCAAATAATTAGCCAGTAGCTCCATTTCTACCTTGTAACTTCTTTTTAGCCAACACCCTTTGGGCAATGAACCATGTGGAGCATGTCAATTCTGACCACAGGTTAGGCTTTAGGACTGTTAGTTTGGGAACATTTTTTTGTTCAAGTTTCTCTCCAGCTGCTTGGGAATGCACCTGGAAAGAGGAATCAGCTGTTCAAAGGTTATTGCAAATTTATTAATAAGTTTGGAGTAATTAAATCCAAGGCACATTTCCAGCATTTTATTCATGAGCTGTTTATTAAGGAGTTTAGAGGATTTAGTGGGGGAACACCAACAAGAAAAGCAGTGTAGGCCAGGAGTGCATGGCTATTTACAAGAGCATGCAGTGACAGGAGGAAGAGGAATGGCATTAAACTGAAAGAGATTAGATTTAAATTAGATATCATAAAAAAATTGAATACTGTGAGGGTGGTGAGGCCCTCTGGGAATGGGTTTCCCAGAGAGGCTGTGGATGCCCCATTCAGGTTGGTGGAGCTCAGAGTGACCTGGTCTAGTGAAGATGTCCCTGCCTGTGGCAGGGGAGTTGGAACAGAATAGTCTCTGAGGTCCATTCCAAGCCAAATCATTCTGTGACTCTATGAC